GTCCGCCTGTAGTTGAAACGATGCTTCCCAGTTAGGTTGGTACGTCTCGTCACCTGAAGGTTCTGAGTTCGATCTCTGGTAGGATAGTGGGTGTGTACTAATGAAGAATCCTAAGCCGGTAGAAACAGATGTCCAGTGCTCCCTGGTTTTTAATGATCCCTCTAAGTGATGTTGGTATATAACAGAATCTAAATTGAAATTAATCTTAATTCCTACAAAATCCGTTGCATGAATACAACTCAGTTGTCAAGTTTATAGAACTCAGAATAGTTTCGTGGTTAGTTTTCTCTGGTATTGAAAATCTCTAGTAAACCAATAAAAACCAGAATACTGAGGATATCTATTTCTTTCTCTTGTAAAATCCTTTTCATGAAAAATAATCAGAAACTCTTGAGATATTAACCCACGGTTCTCTAACGATGCTAAAGGGACCTAACATAAGCACACAGGGGTTCCTATTTTTCAAATTTCCTCCGTTCAAATTTCATTCCTCATAAAAATGATCTCAAGGTGTTGATTCATTCTCAGTTAGAAAAGTGGTAACCTCTTCACTTTTTGACAGATAAGAAGTAATCTGATGCATGATAACAAGCAGTGGAATCCAGGATGCGCATTTCCTTCTATTCGGAACTCCTCATCCGGATGTGCCTTCATTCTCCAGTGAGTGATGTTATTCCTATGGACGTTCGGACCCACTATCCATCACTTCAAACTCCGAAGAGTTATTCACTAGACCACTTTGGCCATGAACTCCACCTTTTTGCGCAACAGGCATTAGTTATGGTTTGTTTTTAATACCGTTTTGTATTTCTTATTGATTAACGGGGCTAGTGGTACGGACGCTTCTACGATGTCTGAGGATTCAGTTATTGGTCAAATCATAGTCTAGTCACGGTAAATTGAATAGATTGTAACAAAACACTGCTATCCCACCTTGAAGGAAGAAGTATATGACTAGAGACATACAATAAGTATTCGAATATAGACTGGCTGATTTCAGTTACCAGAAAGTGTTTGTTAACCGGTTTTGGTATCAGAAAGACATTCCGACAGTGTTGAAGAAAGTTAGATCTTGTCATATGACAATATTGGTCTAGATCATTAGGAAAGGATAAAGGGTTTCACTATGAAGTAGACACCAATGCAGTTTGCAATATAGGTATTCTCACTGACTGATCCAAACCAATTAGAAATAGTCGAATTGAACATTAGAATGTGATGCTTTATTTGGGTAATTAAAATACGAACCCCAGTGGTAGCATCTGGTTAAGACTTTGGATTTAACATCAGAACATCACAGTATAATCTTCAGAGTAACCACCAGACAGTGTCACAAGTGAGTAACTGTCCTCTTGCTTCACTTGTTAGACCCTGCTGACGATGACTTTCACTATGACCCCAGGTAACTACCTGCTTGAATAGAGCCAGTTGCTAGTGAGCATCAAATTAATTGTCAAGCGTTTCGGTTTGTAGGGATTTGATTGGTTACAGTATCGATCATTAGATGACCCCGGTTAAAGAACCATGCAAACATTTGGGAGTAATAAAAGCGATTTCATCCTAGTTTGAGACTCTTCAGTAGTATGCACCCACCGCCCTGGCTTGAACTCAGGAGTCTTCGGTTACAAGGCGAGCTCTCAGACCATAAGATTACTGGGACCCGACCCATGGTTTCCAGCTTCTGGTCGAGCTCTCCTTGTAACCGGAAGGTCTTGGGTTTAAACACCCACGGTTGAGCACTACTGACAAGTCCCAAACTAGGACGAAACAGCTGTTCAATAGTTCCAGTTACTTTTCGAACGGTTCTGTAATCAATCCTGTAACCAATCAAATGCCTGCAAAACAACACTTGACAATAATATATAATCTTCGTTTTATTATCAACCATTGATAGAATATTTTGAGGGTGTCTAAAATTCGCTTCCTTTTCCAAACATAATTTTTTGTACAACCCTCAATGCCATATACTTCTCTTCTTTCCTTTTTCGTCTAGATTCGAAAGGTCTTATTATTATCATCACTTTTTTAATGTAATTAATTATTTTTGATTTTAAAGACAGATGAGTTATATCACGCAACCAGCTGTTTTTACCACTGTCTTCACATAGTCAGATAGACAGACGAATACAAAACATTTGTGTATACTCACACGCTCACGTAACCATAGGAACAAATCGTTTCGATAGTGATGGTACAAACCACTAATATATCACATGATTCCCATAGCACTAGTTAATATAATGCCGAAAGAGTGGACTGTAAAAAATGGTGATTTTTGAACAGCTGACTTTCAATTTCCACGGATAAATATAAAAAGTAACCACAAGGTGTTTTCGCGCATAGTAAAACAAACACCACAACATTTATTACAGCTGTGTAAAAAGAAACAACGATGAAACGCTTTCTAATAAAATAGCCAAACATAATATCTCATAAGATTATAGAATTTATCTAAGCATGTTATACAGAATCATATAAGACCAACAGCCTAGGGAAATTCAAATCTCCGTTCTGGCTGAATAGTGGTCGGTTAGCAGGCTAGCTGTGTAACCTAAAAGTCCTGGATTTGATCACTGGCACGGGATTCATCAGTGCTTATTGCTGGAAAGCTTGAAACTAGGATGAAACAACTGTCCAGTACTCCTTGATGGATTTCAATGGTTCTCTAACTGATGTCAGCTCATGTTCTTTAATATTATTTCTTTTATGATAACTCATTTTCATCTCGTTTTATCTTTTTCTTTCGATTAACTTTTGACAATTAGGGAAGGTCGTTGAAAAGATTTGAAAATACGATAGAAAAGTCTTTAGAAATCTTACATTTATGTTATAATAAGTAAATGAATTTTATTGCTTGTCTATCATTCTCAACTTCGAACAGAATTAATTTCCTGAAAAAGACATTAGATGAAGCGTTTTCTGTTTTAGTGGCAGTTTTCCAGTGTTTAAATCATTTGATATCAACGTGAATACTTTTCAACTACACATAATGTATCGTATACATTGGCCACCTGCTAAACGCCATTTATGAAGTAATATAGATCACATATTATTATTATTGTTCCCTTGGGTTCCTAGTGGAACATGGGAAGGCTTCAACTGCACGTCTCCACTTGCCACGTCTGTCTTCCTTCTGCTGTACTTTTCACCTGCATCCATCCATGTTAGTTCATACTCTTTCAACTCCTCTCTTTTCACACAATCTCCTTCATGTCACCCTTGCACTGACGTCCTACTCGCTGCGTGCTTCCCTTTCGTCCTCGTTCCACTCGAGCGATGGCCTGACACTCGCGCAATGCCACCCAGCAGCCTCCTCAGCGAGTGTCCAATCCGTCTCCACTTTTCCCTGCATTTTTGTTGGAGAATATGTTGGATCACATATTATGTTCTGAATATTCTGAGCTTTCAGAATTAAAACACTGATCTGTGCCCATTGTGAATAGATAATAGCATTCTATATGTTTTCAGTCTGCTAAAGTAGTTTGCTAGATTTGAGTTAGTTCCAACTGACTTGACTCTGTAGGTAAAATCGATCCGAGTAAACCACTTACAGGTCACATCAGTCCTTCTATAGGGTTCGGATACGTTGCATGCCACTAGAAGCATTTCTAACAGCCTGTTGCGTACTTTCAACGAGAGTTGTCTTCACTCATGAAGGAACTCTAGCAGTGAAGCTAACCAACCACGAACCAATCAAACAATAAATATACTGAAGGAAATGAAGATAGATTGGACACATGCTGAAGAGACTGTCAAGTAACACCGCGCAGCTGCCGCTCGAGGTGAATCCAAATAGGAAACAATGAGTTAGACGCAGGCCAAAAGGTGACATGCAGGAGATCGTACGAGAAGGGAATAAAAGCTAATAGGCGATCATGAAACCAGCTACAGAAGAGAAAATCTAAGGATAACAGATAGGAATGGTGATACGTTGCTAAAGCCTTATGTTTCACTAGGAATTGAAATGGATCAACAAAAATAATTATCATTATTGGATTTCATCATGAGCTGACTTCGGCTAGAGAACCATTGGAAAACCAGCAAGGAGTACTGGGCAGCTAACTGTGTCGTCTAGCTAGTTCGAGACTCTTCAGAAGTATACACCCACTATCAGAGTTCGAACTCAGGACCTTCTGGTTACAAGGCTAGCGAGCTGGCTCATAGGCCATTAAACCGTTGGGACCCGATCCAATGGCCCATGGATTCTAACTTCGGACAATTCAAGACGTAGCGCGACCGCTAGCTAATGTCTTCGACGAGTATTTGTCGTCACACCCAACCTGCTGCACCCTACTGGTCACGACTTTCCACTAGAACCACTGAGGTAAACTGAAGAGCGCGTGCATATGTCCCGATTTATTCGTGCATATTTCATCAAGGAAGCTCACTCATTGTTTACCCGCATTTCGAAAGCAGACTAGATAGATGGTACTTCCAGAAAAATGAATAGTATTCATAGAAGCTTGGGTTAAAGATAATAAAAACACTCATAAATCAGATAATTCACCAGAGTTTCGATAAATAGATAGATGGATAGGTAGACAAGATATAAACTAAGAGACAAGATCTGTCTCTCTGGTAAGAGACTGTCAATTTCACTATAAATCTTAAAATAACTTGTAACATATATGAACCCTGTTTCAAATGGCAAAACGGAAATACAGATGTATCTCACTGATAAATTTAATGATAGAACATTCGAAACAAGAAAAAATTATGTCAGCCTAATTTTTATCATCTACAACCATAAATAATTACAAGATAGAGCAGTACTCACTCTCTCACTCACTCACTCACTCACTTACTCAGTCATTGACTTATTCACTTACACACGCATACATAAGAATGAAACAATCCGATTCTCTATTAATCGACAAGTGAAACGAATGATACAGAAAGGGAAAGAGGGAGAGAGAGAGAGAGATAGAACAAAAGAGAGTTGTTACACCACTTGTCTTATTTCCTCTGCTGTTGTTGTTGTTGTTTTTTCTCCTCCCCAGCATTAATCCAACTTCACATGGCGTGACTAACAACCATTAGAGACACAAAGAAGCAAAGGAAGTAAGTAGTAGGGTTGGACCAAAACAACAAAAAAAAACAAAAGGCAAAAGAGAAACAACTGAAAAATTACAAGATGAAGTAGAGAAATTAATCAAAAATTGATTGAAATTGTTTCGTTTCACTTAGTCACTGGAATAAATTAATACAAAATGAAGCAAGAAAGTAAGTATTACACGAAAAGGCGAACTGATGTGCTACATATACACATATGCGTATACACGTGCATCATCAAAGGGAAAGTGACCTTAGAGAAGAATTCTTTTGACCTGATTTACAACTTACTGGTAGTGGATCAAAATCAAGCATTTTAGCAGCACAGCCAGAATGTTTCATCGACGAGTACTGTTCCTCACTGTTTCGACCTCGTGAACCCTACTGGTGAGTGAGGTCTGTAGCCAGTCACCAGTGAACATTAGATTAATTTTCAAGTGTCATTTTGTAGGGATTTCATTTGTTTCAGGTTTGGTGACAGACTAATACCAGTGAAAACCAGTGGGTGTTAGGCAGATGTTTCGTCCTTGTTTTGAGCTCCTCAGTAATACACACACGAAACTCCACCAACAGTCGAACTCAAGAACTTCAGGTTACGAGGGGGTTTCGTTGACCAATGTGCGTCGGTGGCACAGTGGTTAGGACTCTCGCCGACCATATACATGGTCCGAGGTTCGAGCCCACGCCGGCGCACACCTGATATCTATGGTTGACCTGCAAAATTTGGGCTACCGATATCCATGCTGAAAATTCCATACTTGTACCAAAAATACAGTGTGGAATCAAGCTGTAAATCAAAAAAAAAAAATCAAAACCAATGGTCCCTAACCTCTAACTTCTGTTATTTTCGTAATGTTTAGTATTACCGCCAATGTACTGTTGACGAGTCACACACTAGGACGAAACATCTGTTCAGTACTACTACTACTACCTAGTTGGCAATGGTTCTCTGATTAACAGCAGTCTGTGATGAATTCATTCAGTTACACTCACAAGCAATGCTGTTCTACACAATATCCTGCTGATAAACTCTCATTTCCTAACATTTTACTTATCTCATTAGCAGTTGTTATCAAAGATAACAAATACGAGGTAATAAGTGTCACTGAATGCCTTCTGAAGTCAAATTCTGAATTCTCACTGTCCTTTAAGAAATATTATAACCGCAAAAATGTGAAGATATTCAGTGTCTGACATATTTTTAATTCAATTGGCTTTTCTACGAAATAAATGTATTCTATACTGATTATTAACAAACAGTTATTCTTCGGCTGCTTTTGGTTAATACACATACGAAGTATAGAGATTTTTTTCTAAGCGGGCTGTTGTACACCTCGGTGATTATCCACTTTCATTTGGCATGTTATACGAAGTAAGAGTGTCTGACTTTATAAATACGCTGTTTACTTTACTATAAAATGACCTATACACTGGAAACTGTTGTATCTGTAAAGGCAGAGCACAACATTTATCGGCAATTCAATCGACAAAATGCGTCAACCATATATATATTAAAATCACAATTTGCTCATGTCATCCATATGGTATCACTGTTTTATTTTGATTTGACACTACAGAAGGTCAATCACGAGCCCGAATGGCTCAGTGGTAACATCTCTGACTGCACCACTGGGTGATGCGGGTTCGAATCACAGAAGGGATATGAGTTCTTTCCAAGGTTGTAGATACGCCTTGCTGACGAATGCCAACAAGCCCAAAAACCTACGTTGGCCAAGGCTTCCTGTGGCCGATTACCTCCAACCATCTGGTATCACTTTTGTCTTTCGTATTGGTCTTCTTTGTCTTCCCTTCATGTTTTCCTTGTTGTTTCACAGGCATTGTTCATTTCTTCTCTTGGTCAATTAATCCATGTCTCCTTTATAGGATATTCTTACAGATGATATACATATATTTATGCATGTATCTATATATTACTTATAAATTGTGTCAGTAGCATATGCCACATATCAAGTTCTAATTGTGGTTGACTGGATTACACGGAAGACTGTTACTCGGTTGCGAGAAGAAAAAAATACGCCGTACCGATAAGAAGATTCTAAAACATCTAGATTTCGCGGATGACTTATGCTTAATTTCACAAAAACTTGAAGACTTACAGGTGAAACCAAACAATCTAGTTGAAGAGGCTGGCAGCAAAGACATGATTCCAGCTGAACAGAGAGAAGATGGAAGTCATGAAGATAACCAACCAAAAGCAACAACAACAACAACAATCAGCGCTAACCACCATCATCATGGAGAAATTTGGAGGTGGTTGATTCCTTCACTTATCTAGAAATCATCGCGTCACCCAGAAGGTGGAACTGGGAGATATCAAAGCTAGAATCGGAAAGGCAAAAAATATCCTCAACAATCTGAAATCAGTTTGTAAATGTTCTGCACTATGCCTCAGCATAAAGAACAAGATCTGGATTTTCAATACAAATGAGAAGTCAGTCACTTCTTCTATATGGGTCAGAAGCTTAGTGAAGGCGTCATGAAAAGCATTTCCAACAGGTTATAAACCTTCATCAACAATTGCCTTCGCTCCGTACAAAAAACCAAATGACCAGTCAGGCAGAATTAACAACTAACCAAGAACCTATCGCTCAACAGTGATATGGGAGAAAATGCGGATGAATTAGGCATACTTTCGGGAGGCCATAGAATGACACTAAGTGCCAGGCTGTCGCTTCAGAGAAATTCTCATGGGAAACGGTGAGTAGGTTGCCCAAGGGTGACATAAAGAGATTATGGGCAATCGTGGGCCCAGATGAAGAGGACAGTAAAAAGTAGAACAAAGTATATGTGTGTTGTTAAAGTTTTATGTTCCAATAGGAATCCAAGAAAACAATAGTAATGATAATCGTTTACAGTGAACTCCTGACGTGTTGTCAGCTGAAAGAGGCCTTTGCAACTTGATACACAGGTTGATCCGTAATTATATGTCAAATTAAACGTCTAGAGTCGATAATCAGGAAATGATGAACTATATATTCCATTCACTCTTCAAGGCACTGTTCATAACCGAGCCTTCTCATAAACACATAAAGAGGAAATATTCATAATTAAAGACGATCGATCCTTTTTCTTTCACTAGCCTGCTTATACCACTACTGTATCCAGGCTAGAGCTACTCAAACTATTACACAACACTGTTGAATTCACAATAATGATAAAATTCAACACAAACCTGATAACTAGTAAACTCACTATCATCTCTCAGTATACCCTACAGTTTAAAACTGAAGAGTCTTCGCACCCCACTCATGAACAGATATCTATTCTCTGCCAACTATTTTTACAAGTTGATCACGGATTGATATCCGTTAGAGAATTATTGAAATCCATCAGGGCAGATTACTGGACAGCTGTTTCATTTCACTAGTTTAGGAATCAATGGTAGTATTAAACCACCCCCCCCCGCGGGGTTCGAACCCAGGGCCTCCCGATTACAAGACAAGCTGGCTCGTATACCATTCAACCACTGGGAAACGATTCAGTGGCCAGCTCATGAATTCTAACTCCTACCAATTCGTGATTTAACGTGACTGGCACCAAACAATGTCATCGGTGAGATATCCATCCTCCCACGTGACCGGATGGACCTCACTGGTACTGGGTTCCAACACCAGTGAGTGCGTACTGCCGATGATTCCCAAACTAGGATGAAATAGCTGTTCAATGGTTCTTTAGCTGATATCGATCCGTCGTCAACTCGTAAAAAAACAAAACTAATCCTTACAAGCCAACTATAGGAAAGTATTTTCGCATTTTAGAAAAGAACATTCTGATATTTTTCCTACCTACACACATATCTGTTCTGTGAACATGATAGCTCAGGTGTTATAATTTTACCCATGTGTCGCATTTCTTCAGATGTTCCATTTTGTATTCTGAAAAAAGTTTTTTTAATAATCTTCCACCTGACTTGTTGATTTCTTCTCAACTAACTTGACTTATAGTCAAATGAGGCAATTAAAAAATAGTAGATAATTAATTAATGCGTTCTCTTTTTTTTGTCTATCCCTTTCGGAGTTATTTCTGCCACTGAGACAGAGAGTCGAAATCCGATTGACATATTATATAATCACACACACACACTCTCTCTCTCGTGAATATCGAAACAATTCTGTTAGGCTGTAAGAAAAAGCCTGTGAGTAGAGAGCAGATGATACATGCTTTATTAGTCCATCCTAGTAAATCGGAATATTTAGAATGTATAGACATTTATAAAGAATAATGTCCCCTGTGTACAGCATTTTACGTATACTACACTGATTGTATGTTTCATATACATATATATTAGGCATGTTATCAAAAAATAACATCATTCTAAGGACATTCGTCTGTGATTAGTCTTCATTTGTTTGTTTCTCCTCTTTCCAAACTCATAATTATACATTGTAACACAATTATAGTATTTCTGATCGCTACGTCTTACTGTGACAAGAACTGATTCAATGCCTCATAAGGTTGTAAGTTGACTTGTCTATCCTAAAAATGCTATTAATCTTATCCTTTAAATTATAAAATTAATTATGCGTTCAGTCCTTCGTCCCGTGCAGACTGAACTCTATCAGTCAAGTTTGTAGTATGGCCCCGACCGATAGCTGCTACCCTGACACATCGCGATGACCCAACAAGCTACACTGGCTGGGAACCAATGTTCCTGTAGGTTCTACCATGCCAGGAAGATTGTTAGGATAGCGATTAGACTACAAGGTGTTACCGGCATTGTGTCAGAATCTTTCTTACACTATGCTGGGGGGTCTGAGGGCGAAGTCGTGCTGCTGGGGAACAGGGGTGTAACAGCAGTAAGGTTTTTCCTTCAGATGGCCAGCATGCCAGCCAGCTATGCTGTCTCTTCACTCTGGAGAGAGGGGGTTAGGAAAGGTCAACCCCAAAAATTCTACATCCCGACTTACCCTACGGTGTGTCCGTAACCGGCGGTAAGTTTACTAATACGGAACCAATCCTAGAAACTAGTTCACACAGGCCGTGTGTGACCGCCCTCAAGCAGTTTTCCCCTGGGCTCTGCGGTCACGTAACACTAACCCTCTCTCTGTTTCAGGTACCCGAATAATCAATCAATTTCCTCGGTATGGGCAGCTTGGAAGTAACAACCGCCCACACACTTCCCCGAGAACACGAAGTCTTCATAAGAATCATTTTCCTTGTAATATGGCCACAGTGCTAAATGGCTCAACATCCTGGTTATATTAGTTGGTTTAAGGGGTGATAGGCAGGAAACCTTGCCTGACCTGAGTTTTGTACTTTTTGGTACTCACCAGTCAGCAAGACGTATCTGCCATCAATCCTGAAGGAACTCACATCTCTTTTGAGATTCGAACTGCAGTCACCCAGTGCTTTGGTCAGAGACGTTACCACTGAGGACTCTAATGAATATTGTAAGAGCAGGAACTGATTGTGCAACAAATATACAGGAAGAAATGTAGGTGGATTGGGGGCCATACTCTGAGAAAACAAACCATCAAGTGACATCACACGCCAGGCCATTGCTCGAGTGGAACCCCAACGGAAAGCGGCGAATTAGTTGGTCGTCAGTGCGAGGGTGGGTTAAAATGGAGGAGGTCATGTGAAAAAGGAGATGAAACCATGTGGGGGCAGACGTGGAACCAGGTGAAAACGTTGGCAGATAGCTGAACCCAATGGAGACGTGCAGCTGAAGCCCAATTTTCCTCTAGGAACTAAAGGAAACAATAATAATAATAATACATATTTTTATTCACTCTGGCAATTAGTAATTATTCTGTTTATCATTTTATTTTGTTTTTATGGGTTTAGTTCTGTAATTGGAATACACGTAAACAAAAACTGTCGCCAAAGAAATCGTTTAATAATGCTAATTTCAAACAACCAACATTTCAACAATTAGACAGTATGTTAAAAAATAGCAATAGTAATAATACCAATAATAATAATTCTAATTCCAACATGATGTTACCAGTCACTTGTAATCTACCCATTAATCCACATCAACTTTCATCTACATCATCACCAAGTTCACAAATGATGATCAATCAATCTGGAATAAATTATCGCATTGATGTATCCAACTCGTGTTTCTATGATCCGAATACACATCATGCTATTCATTATAGTCCGTATAGTCCAATATTTGTAAATACTACTAATGCAGTACCAGTAGTATCAGGTAAGACTTTTAACGTTTTATTGATCTTGTTATTCATACTACTATTATTATTTACTCCTAGTATGTTCCGAATGAAACTTAAGGCTTCGGTTGCATATCACGATCACCGAAAAAGCTTTTATCTCCACCTCCATTTCACCTTCGGATTCACGCCCAGCGCACACTAGATCTTGGCACACTGATGTCACTTACCGGTTTTCTCAAAGTTTATTCAATAAATCTCCATATTCTTCTGAACATTTCTAAGTTGACAGACTCTTGGTTTGTTTGTTGCCTATCTGATGGTCGGTACTGGACGAAGTCAGATGCTGGTGGAAGTCTTCAGTCTTGTGGAAGTGCTTTTGATCTGATGTCAGACAAGTCTCGGCCAAGTTAAACTTTGAGCACCACTAACCACTATTCAGCGAATGACCTCGAATGTTCCAATGAAGTTCATCCATATGAGTTCAAGGTTGTATTCTGCTTGATTCGTGTCAAATGCCTGCTCTAACAAAGTTACACCTGCAGTTCGATTATGACAAGGTTTTGCAGTATTATCTGGATGTGGGGTTGCTTAAGAAGGAGAGGATTTATTCGTGTGGAGGAGCATAACATTTAAAAACCTTCACCAGGTCGATTGATGGATATATGTCCGTCGTTGAGCAACTTGTTTGAGACGAGTGAGTGTTAGGGAAGGTAAGCTTATGATTCCATTATTTCATAGGAGCATTTTTTGCTAGGTCACATCTCTCCCTAACCCAGATTTTGCATATTTGTAATTACTGGGTATAAAAACAGTCTGTGAGAGGTGCAGCTGCTGAAACTGAAAACAGCCTGGTGTCAGTAGTCCAGTGGAACCAGCACTGCAGAGACATCGCCTTATGGAAAATGGAGAGAATTACTTCGTTGTTAGGCGGAGAAGGTGCTATCGTATACGTGGACGAAAACTGTCTTAATGAAGAGAAAATACAACCCTGGTCGTGAGAAGAGACAGTAATCTTTAGGTGATCGGTTTATATGACACCTTCCTGCAGAAAGGATTTGTGGAGAGGATAGCAGACAACCTTAGTACCTATTGCCACTCGACTGGTGAAACAGGAATCTGTAGTACATACTGATGAATGAAAAAATTATAACTTACTTTCATCCCTTGGACACATGCATCACAGTGTGGACCATTCTAGTGATTTTGTAGATCCCATTACAAGGACATACACGAATTTTATGAAAGGATTTTGGGACAGATTGAAAAATAGGATTAGGGCTATACATGGATCTCATTTATAGTCATTTGGATGAATACATGTACAAAATGTGGTGTAACTTTTCTATTGACACTCCTACACTAAACTGGGAGGTGTTTCTGTCCCATGTTAGAGAAACATACCCTATGTAACTGTTTTATGCAGTTTTTATGCTAAAATTTTGCATAACAAAAAATCCCTCTTTCATGTGATTGGTTCGTTGAAGGTCGTTCGCTGATTGGTAGTTAGTGGTGCCTAAAGTTTAACTTCGCCGATAGTATTCCTTATACTGAATCGAGGAGATGCAATACTTACTTCAGAGTAATGAACACCTCTCTTACCTCTTCTGATGCTGGCTGCCTTTAATATCCTCATCCGTGTTGCTTGTTGATTCAGTAGGATAGCAACGGTAATCTTTGTTCATTGTTGACTTTTCCAAAGTATCAAAATTTCCTGTATGATGTTAGTAGGTTAGAAAGATATAAGTCAGCAAAGGGATCTCTTTATTAACCAACCATTTTAGTAACTTCACCTCGAAACTGTACAGTTTCATTTTAGAGGCGGTTGAAATAAGCAAATTTTAATTGACTGCAAATGTCAGAAGTTATTGTCGTTTAGTAACAAAGTCTCGGCGAGGCCTCGAGCTAAGCACTTTGTGCGTCGGTGGTATAGCGGTTAGGACGCTCGCCGACCATGCATATGGTCCGGGGTTCGATCCCCGGCCGGCGCACTCCTTTACCTCACTGAGCCAGAAATAATCCTGGTAAAGAGGAAAGGTTGGGCATGAGGCTAGCAAGCCCATCCTGTAAAAATTAAACACTGCTACAGAAACTTCAAGCCACTAGCTTGGAGCCCTATGTTCTACTGGGGACGTGAAGGAAAAATTATTATTATTATTATTAGTAACAAAGTAAGTCAAAGTGTGTGATAAGTAAGAATGTTTAAAAAATACTGACTAATCTTATACAATCGAGAGAGAAAGAAATGACATCTGATTGGTCAAGGGATGAATAATCAATTGAAAAAAAATCGATAGGAAACAAGACAGTCACCTCTGACCTTTGTTGCCAATGTACATTGTATATTTTAATCCCTGACTGACTAAGTTACAACATAGGACTTTGTACAGAAGTGTAGTCGTTCCATTTTCCAGACTGCATGCAACAGGTAGTGGTAAAGAAAAAACAAAGATTCAAATGAAATGTGATCAGGAGAAACGCCATAGGTGAGGGGGAAAGAACTGGGCAGTTACATGGAAAAACACGACGATGAATCCATCTGAGCTACTGAGCAACATAAACAGTAAACTCCACCTACTACTTCCTAGCATCTCTTGGACTCCAACCAAATAGTCTACACCTCCATATACGGCTGGCTTAAACCAACTGTCAAAGTCTTCACGGACTGATGACAGCTTTCGTACTGACTACTTTTCTCATCCTCACCCTACGTCAGATAACGCTGATTGTTGAAGAAGGTGACTGTTCAGCGCTCTCACAACATGTCTATTTAAACACTCAAATAACCGCGGATTCTTTTTAACTCAAATAAAAAGTTAGGAATCACTAGTTCTCAAACTGATATCAATACGTGATCAAAGCAACCCTCAAAAATTAATCTGATACTAGCTAGTGTCTGATTACAAGATGACGTTGCCTGCAGTTCGGGTGAGACGTTGTGAACTGTGGGGTACACTCACTCCTCAGTGAGGTCAAATACCCACCACCGATGACATCGACTAGTGGTCCCGCTAAAATTACAAGTCGGTAGAAGTTAGAATTCATCGGCTGGCTATTGAGTAGTGTCCTAGCGGTTGAATGGGCCCAAATCCCGCCGGTGCGTGTGTAATTCCAATGTGTCCCGAACTTGAATGAATCAGCTGTCCAGCACTCCATTCTTTTTTTTTTTGGTTCTCTAACTGATATCAATCGGTGGTAAGACTTGAAACAAATCGAATCCTCACAAACGTACTCTTGAAAACTAATCAGAAGGAAACTACAAATTAAATAATAAATGACAAGTGGAACAAGTGGAATAATACCGGGGACAGTTCAAAGTGAAAGTAGTAATAGTAGTAACAATTGACTTAATAAGGAAGAGTATACAAATTGAATAGACAAAATGAAAAAGTGATAGAGCTAAAATATGATTGAAGATTTCCATACTTTAGCATAGTAGAGGGATTAAGACCATGAAAGTTGGAGGGGTTGAACGAACATTTTCTGTACACAGAGATCTGGCTTTTCTGTTTCGATGGTCAACGATGTCTTCATCAATACAGATGAGTCGGGTACGTAGGGATTTGGGTAAATTACTCTTTGCCTTGTAGATGACTTTAAAGGTGGAGGCTATAGAGATAGGATGGTCATTATCGACCAGATATTCAATGATCGCGCTTCTTACTGCTCCACTTCCACCTCTTCGTGAGGACCATACACGGATAGTGTTCTTGAGCCCTCTTGGACAAACGTCGAGTCGACCGACCGATATACCTAGCTCCACACGAGTAGGTAAATTGATAAACACACATAGAGTTGGTCAACAGCGTGACCTTGTCCTTCAGGTTATTGAACAGTAATGGTCGACTAGTAAAGGCTTACATGAGCTTGGAATTCAAAGGAGACTTAGCTTCCGATATCATGAAACGAAGGATATCACAGTCTTTGAAAAGAACATTCCCAGCTGCATCTCTGAGAACAGCCTTTACTAGTCAACCATTACTGTTCAATAACCTGAAGGACAAGGTCACGCTGTTGACCAACTCTATGTGTGTTTATCAATTTACCTACTCGTGTGGAGCTAGGTATATCGGTCGGTCGACTCGACGTTTGTCCAAGAGGGCTCAAGAACACTATCCGTGTATGGTCCTCACGAAGAGGTGGAAGTGGAGCAGTAAGAAGCGCGATCATTGAATATCTGGTCGATAATGACCATCCTATCTCTATAGCCTCCACCTTTAAAGTCATCTACAAGGCAAAGAGTAATTTACCCAAATCCCTACGTACCCGACTCATCTGTATTGATGAAGACATCGTTGACCATCGAAACAGAAAAGCCAGATCTCTGTGTACAGAAAATGTTCGTTCAACCCCTCCAACTTTCATGGTCTTAATCCCTCTACTATGCTAAAGTATGGAAATCTTCAATCATATTTTAGCTCTATCACTTTTTCATTTTGTCTATTCAATTTGTATACTCTTCCTTATTAAGTCAATTGTTACTACTATTACTACTTTCACTTTGAACTGTCCCCGGTATTATTCCACTTGTTCCACTTGTCATTCTAAATCAATTCCTTCTTTACAACGTTAAATTCTATGCTGGTAAATAATAAATCTTAACAGTTTGAGTGTGTGTATGTGTGTGTGTGCGTAGTTTTAGAAAATAATGTAGATGAATATTTTTCAGACAAGCCAAATTGTAACAAAAATGATATTACTCTGGAATTATTATTGTTATTATGATTATTATTAATCAGCTGTTATCACCAAACATCGTGTTCTGAATAACTCTTCTTTCTATAAATTGTATCTTTCTCACTCACCACTGAAAACTGTACTCATATATCTCGTGTAGTATATGCATATATATATAAATTATCTCGATGAGGTTATTTATTATATATGGTCACTGTTTCCTCTTTATTTTCACGACTTTGTTACTCTTCAAATAATTACAACAAAAGCAAACGTTGCTGAAATAATAACTAAACGAGTTTGTAGCGTATGTGGGCCTAACACCATAAGATTAAAACAAAAAACAACACAGATGGAGGGGCGGGAAGAATCATTTAAATATATATATATATATATATATATATATGTTCATGTTTTTATTCCACCCTTGTGTATTCGTTCAACTTATTCTTCACATTTATCAGTTTAAGTAACAATAAATTGTTTAGACTTGGTGATAATAGTAATGCCAATATACATATATTTTGTACCCAAACCTACAGGGATGAGGAGATCCTCGGGTATACAGATATATATATATATATATATATATATATATATATATATAGGCACATAGGCCTACATAACTACTATATGTGTGACACGTTTATCTGTTTTTTTGGTGAAATAACAGCTATAAAATTCAAATTCAAATGATACAATGGGATGAAAAAAACGAAAGAAAAATTAAAGTCGAACTCATTAGAAGAGATTCAATATTGTTCAGTGTTGTTACACACTAGTTTTGTAATTGTCATCACAGGGAAGAAGTTCCTTCTCTGTTTTGTTGTTGCTCTTCCAATCCACTCACGTGTGTGTATGTGTGAGTGTGTAAAATACACACTTATAGAGTTCATTTCATCTTACAAACATCTTGTTGTGGGTAAAAGAGGAAACAAAACTCGCCGAAGACATTGGCTAAGGGTCGCGCACTATGTCGTGATTTGGCAGAAGTTAGAATTTATACACCGGCAATTGGATCGGGTCCCAGTGGCTTAGTGGTTTACGAGCTCGCTGGTCTTGTAACCAGAAAGT